ACGTTTCATATAGGTTTAGGGCTTCCCTTCTCAAAAAACTCTCAAAAAGCTGTTTCAAGCTACGGTCATCCCAGTACCTCCTAGGGCATTTAATCAGAAACACTTTCATGAACTGCTTGAAACTCTCTGTTGGTTTATCATGGTATGGTTTGACGTCAGGCACTGTGTTTGCTAATATAAAGTCTTTTATGGTAAACTCAGCATCAGAGTTACTCCCCTCTTTAGTTGTCAAATGAACCGTTCGCCCACCTGTGTTCAACAGACGTGCACTGTCTCTGTCTAAGCTTGGCTTGAGCGTATGCGAGGAGCAACTCGGGGTTGAGGCCAGCACAGTATTGCTCGAGGTTGGCACTTGGTCCTGTAATGACACCATATAATCTTCTCTGTCTACGTTTGCAGATCTTTCATATTTGCTTTTCAATGATGTGTGCTCACGATTACCTTCCGTCTTCCTGTCGGAATCATTGTCGGACTGGTCCGTGGTGTCTGCATGAAAACTGCGGGCTTTGCCCATGTTCCGAACCTTGGCTGTGAGACGTTTAACCTGTAATTGCGAGTCTTGCACCTGTTCATAGTATTCTGCACATTTTCTTTTGTATGTCTGTGCCTCACTTCTCACTCTTTCAGCTTCTTCCACCAGCTCTTCCTCTCTGCGTGCTAGTGTTCTGCACAATGTTGCGATCAAACTAGATTGAGCAAGCTTTCTATCAAGGCAATGCTCTAGTTTTTCCGCTGTTAGCAGCTTTGTTTGAGTGAGAATTTCGAAAACTTCGGGCTCTACGCGCATCTGTTCAGCGTCAGCTTTATCGCCCATTCTTTCCATTGCTACTTTGATTTCTTGTTCGAGATTATGTAACTGCTGGTCTACCTTGTTCATCATAGCGTCTCTACGCTTATCACCTAGGCGGAACAGGCTGCTTAACTCTTTCTCCCATTCCTCTCTCACTAGGTTCAAGTAATCAGTTAACCCCTTGTGATTTCCTGCTGTGATAGGAGACTTACCTCCGTTTCCAAGACCTTCTCTCCGCTACTGTCACGCTGTTCGCTGTGCTCGTCACGCTCGGAACTCATTTTTATTCAGCTATGATCTGCAACAGAGATTTTGAATGACTGCAAAATCCAGGAATTCTGCGATGGAAAACGTACGGTACACGATGCCAATCAGAACAATCAGAATTTCACCAGTATGACTCTGTTGGTACTGTCTACGCCTTTGCGGTAGCAGTCTTTCTTTTGCGGCCTGAGGCGCGCTTCCTCTCTATCTTACTCTGTTCCCGCGGCCTACGGCGCGCGCTCTTTTATCACTCTTTGGCGGCCTAAGGCGCGCTATATGTTCGGTTTCAATCGACCACTAAGGGATCGATGAGTTATGCGGGGCCTGAGCCGCCGCTTTTCTGATCAATATGGGAGAACAGATGTCCCTCTCTATTGGATTGAACCGGATAGAAATATGCGGGGTTTAACCGCCGCTCTGAATTACTTATTCGAGGGTTTTCAAACGCCCCGAATTTCAGCTTCTCCTGGAAGGTCTGAGACGCTTCCACGATTGTTCTAGCTGAGTCAGCGGTTCGGCACCCAAGTAACGGGCGGACAGATCCGCAGGTTCCACTGACCCAGCACAACCGTTCAAAACAAAAATGGTTTATCAAAATGACAAACCGGAGAAGCTGATAACAACAAAAATATGAGAACAATAACAAGAGGAATGAAAGGCTGCAAAGAATGAGCAAAGGAAAAAAACAAAGATCAGATCACAATCGAAGGAATCAACAACCTGAGGCCGGCAACCTAAGATATGGTGCAGCGTATGCCTCACAACTACGCTCTATGGTCTTACACACTCAAAAAAATTAGACTGCTAGAAAAACTAAAATGTAACTAATTCAACCCACCTAAACCTAACCTAAGTAAACAAGGCCTAGACTAAGCCACAACATACCCGGCTCCGCCCGACCTTGTCAACTCGCAGCGTCGTACGTGAAACTTTGCAAAAAGATAAATCGATGTCGATCAATGACGAAAGGTAGCCTACGACATCCGCCCACTCCGACGTGTATGTGTGCAAAGTTTGATCGGAATCGGTTGAAAAATGGAATTTTCTATTCGGAGCATATATATACAGAGACGACAGACACCTACAGACAGACGACATTCAGCTTTATATTAGGTGTCGGATGATTCCTGTTACACTTTTGTTTTATTATCATGAAAATCTATGAAGCTTTCGAAAAAATTTTTGCTCAAGAAGTGTCGACGCGGTGCAAAGATCTACCCACCGGTGCCATTAGATCAGTGGTCCGTAAGCAAGACGCCCAATTTATGGGTGGGAGTACGTTTAATGGACATTTTTGCCAGCGGGCTGGCATTCTTCCCGATGATCAGGTAGAGAGCGGGCTAGTGGTAATTAGGTACGGTATGGTCCATAATTTTCAACGAAGACAGTGCGATGGCACAATCATATCCGCACATGATCACGTGAGCTACATGTTGCGCTATGTCAGTGCACATTTGCATTTTGACATAAAAAACAATTTTTGAAAATTTACAAAGATCAATTCCAACCTCTCCGTATCAGATCCTATACGATGCAATAAAAAGAAAGAATTCGACGAATTTTTATTTCTTTATGTCATTTTCCACCCCCTTGTGTTTGGCATTCTAGCGACACCAAGTGCCGCGATGAGAGAGACAGTGCGAAAAAATGTGTGAAAATTTGTAGGAGAGAAAAATATAATCAGACACAGGGAAAAATCAAAGGAAAAAATGACAGTTTTGAGTGCGCTTACGAATTTGTCGTAAACTGATGGCTATTTGTGCTTTCGCGGCACCGTCATACTGTTGTGTACGCCCCGTCTGTTCTACATGCGAGCAACTTCGAAGGTTCTAGATGGCTTCCGAATTTTTCAAACTACAAAAAAAACACAACAGAGATTATCGACAAATTAGTATTAGGTTGTCAAGAAAATAATGTCGGTTTTTGTCTGCTTGTTTTAACAAAGCACATAGACTCAACGCAACAAAGGGCAAGGGACACGGTTTGATAGAGCAAAGCAAGCTCTACAAGATGGCGTTTATGATTTTGCGCCAAGCTCGAAGTACTGAGAGTTCGAACTCAAAATCTAAGGATTTCCAAATGCCCAAAAAATCGGAAAAAATCAGATCTTCGTCCAAATAATTTCTACGGACCTCCCACTCGCTCACATTAATACTATCGATATCTGATATCCATATGTGCGACTGCTGTATTTTTTCCTTGACTAGAAACTGAGAAAACGAAAATTTCCTTGATATTCTCAAAGCAATGCTGAGCCGTTCTTGCATATGTAGTTCTATACTACAAGCCTAGGTAAGTATAACTGTAGATTTTCAGCCTATTCCGAGCAGTAGTTTTCGAAAAATATCGAATTTAAATTTTTTCTTTTCAGTTTCAGTTCTAAAATCGACATTTCTCGAAAAGTATCGCTCGAAATAGGCTGAAAATCTACAGTTATGCTTATCTAGGCTTGTAGTATAAAACTACATATGCAAGATCGGCTCAGCATTGCTTTGAGAAAATCACGGAATTTTTCGTTTTCTCAGTTTCTAGTCAAGAAAAAAATACGGCAATTGCACATATGGATATCAGATATCGATAGTATTGACGTGAGCGAGTGGGAGGTAATTAGAAATTATTTGGACGAAGATCTGATTTTTTTCGATTTTTTGGGCATTTGGAAATCCTTAGAATTGAGTTCGTACTCTCGGTGGATCGATCTTGGCGCAAAATCATGGGTGCCACCTTGTAGGGCTTGCTTTGCTCTATCGAACAGTACCCCTTATCATTTCTTGGATTGAGTCTGGTTGCTTTGTTAAAGCAAGCAAATAAAAAACGACATTATTTTCTTGACAACCTAATATATTAGGTTATCCGGAAATTGATACAGGTTCCTTACTCAATTGCGGCATTGAAAATAAAATTTTGAAAGACAAATCATTCGATAGAGTGAAGCATCCCTTACAAGATTGCTTTAGAACTTTGGTTCGAGATCGGTTAAAGGTTTTGCGGCATCGACACAAGTCATTGATAGCCGTCTGTAACAAAAATCAATGTTGACCGCAATCAAAAACTTTACCTAACAAATGGGTAAACACATCAAATCACGACATTTTAGCACGGATTCTCATGAAAACAATTTTTGAACAGAAAGACAATGAGATAAACAAAGAGATTTCATTCACCGCAGTTTCTTTTTTTCACGAAAATAGGGCACCGTAGAAAAAGAAAAAACTTGTTTTCCCTTATTTTTGGCTGTAATCAGCTGTCCATCATTCATTCTCTCCATGAGCCCCTGAAAATCTACAGTTTCCGCACTCTAGTTCGCAATGTCATGTCACATTACGTACCCCGTAAGTTACTCACGAGCGATGTTTCTGTGTGTCTCGTCCTTTGCACACTATTTCCTCAAGATCTTCTCAAAATCGCCACTGCTGTTATGGAAGTCAGGTGAGATCATCGCGGCACGTGCCCTGACGCTCACTTGTCAAGTCAGGTCGCATTTCTATAGCATATGGGTGTGGCCAGTCGTCAGTTCATCTTATGAACTTTATCTGAGGCCTTCATTTCGGATCATCTGATCTGACCGAGCTTTACTGTGCCATGCTGAATTCAGAAGATGTTTCAAACTTCAGGGTTCAACTATTGTGTCAGTAGCTCAAATAAGACCTGGTAAGCTCATCCTTGCCTAGATGCTGCAAATAATCTTGCGCATCTGCTGGTAGGAGTGCTCTACGTCTTCAAATTCTTCAGATATTTCATCTCTACAGTACAATGCAATCATGCTACTGACTTACAATGCAATCATGCTACTGACTATGTTCGAAATGCGCATTGAGAAAGTTGCTTACTCCGTTTGTTCAACTATCCAGCAGTTCTGCTAGGTATTCGATGGTAAGGACAATACTTTACACATTCAAAGAAGCGGCGTTTTATGATTCGCTTGCTTGTCTTTAGTATTTTGGAAGTTTTTATTATTGAAAATCTTTTAGATAGATGTGCACAAAGAACATATTCTGCGATGACTGCATATCTACGACAGGTCGTGTGCTTCTTGCTTTTGCAGATCTCGTGGTTTTTGCTCCATCAGACTGTTTGTGCTTTCGATGCTCTGTTTTGGAGAAGCCTCCTAAACTTTTGAGAATATGGCAGACTTTAAGTACTTTGGATTGATTACTGTACCTATTACGAATCACGAATGTTACTTGCGTCATGCTAAAGTCTAGCTCCACACAAATGTGCATGAAAAGCGTTGCGAGCTTTAAAAGCAGTGTCCGGGCAAGAACTTTCTAGAAAATTCGATTGCCTAGGGTTATCCCCAACGCTCAATAAAAAAATTCAGAGAGCGCGAGAACGGCGAGAACATAAGTTCTCCAAGCCCCTACAATTCAAAAATGTATGATTCGCCAAGGCAGAAACCCAAAGTCGCTTCGGGACCCTTCAACTTTGAGTGCGGCGGCATGCGTACTCTGTCGCAGAGCAGGAATTCGAATAGGCGATGACCCTCCCTCAGGGCGTAAGTTTCTCACTTCCCGACCGTATTCCATACTTCTGTTAAAGGCAGTGTCCGGGCAAAAACTCGATTTTGAGATTTTGTGCTTACCCGGCCTATTCGCTATGCTGAATCCGAAAATCCACATTGGAGAGCGCAAAAACGAAGGAAAAGGGCTCTAATGTTGGAAGGAAATCAGCAAGTGGGCGGGGTCTTCCCCACGGTGAATTCACGCTCCCAGCTTCGGGGGCGATCTTTTTGATTCCGGTTTTAAGTCATTCGTTTGCACTTGATCGGTTATGATGTCAGGGCGGCTAACGGATTCGAGAAAATTGCTCTGGAAGCTGGAAGCGTGAATCCACAGTAGGGAGGATCCCGCCCACTTGCTGTTTCCCTCCAGTGTTAGAGCCCTTTTTCGTCGTTTTCGCGCTCTCCAGTGTGGATTTTCGGATTCAGCGCGAATAGACCCGGGTAAGCACAAAATCTCAAAGTCGAGTTTTTGCCCGGACACTGCCTTTAAACATGCAAACTGCACATTTTCCAGAATGGCGTTAACCATGAGGCTTTGTCTCTCTTGCTTTTTTCTTAGTTTTTTCATAACAATCTAATATATAAAGGATCGTAAGCTCAATTCAAAAGTCCCCCTACAGCGGGAAATCGCGGCGGATCCCGAAGCGAAGGCTCTTCCTAATAGCACCTCTAGCTACTGGTTCACTATTTTTGTACGAAAAGGTGTAGATGGATTCACTTGTTTTCTACGACCGGCTAAGACCGGCTCAGCCAGCGGTAAAGCTTGATATTGTTTTCTAGTTTCTACAATATTGCATCCTAGTTGAAAGGAGTAAAATCGTCTGTTTTGCTTTTTGGTAAAAATTCATAATATTTCTCTGACTTTGGTCGCGTGCTGCACGCGGGTAGAGGCCCACAAACTTGCCTAGTATGTATCTTATTAGTGATCGCTTCTCTCAGGTGAAGATTTCGCCATAAAATAGATCTAATCTTTTACTTCAAGATCACTGAGGTTCGGAATCTTTAAGAGCATTCAAAACAAAAATTTTGACTATTCAATAATTTGCGTCAGCTTGCGTTTCTACTACGAACATTGCTTTTTGGAATTCTTACTTCTCTAAATAAAGATCGATTTGGGATACTGATAGTGCTTTTTATAGAGCACGCTTACGACATTCTATGACATTAAATCCACACCAAATTTCTCATTGTCGTTGTTGTAGCATTACTTTGAATATTTTGGGGCAAATAGTTTTCGCGCACCCTGTAAGTAAAAACCAAGCGCAGCGGCGCGAAACAACGCTCAGCTGTAACGAATTGCCAACCTTAATCAAAAACATTGTCATAATATTAGGTTGTCAAAAACATTGTCATAATATTAGGTTGTCTTGTTACTCTTCAATTTCTCATGTTCATAAGTCATACACTTCATATTTTTTATGGGGCTTTGGGGTACCGTTTGATGTAGGAAAGCAGCTCTACAATCTGTTTGAAAAATCGCACCGGCTTTGATTCAACCGCATATTGAAGGCCGAGATCTAAGTAGTACTCGATGCACGAAAAATTGGGAAAATCAAATTTTTGTTCGGAATCCTGTGAATCTCACTTGCTCGAAAGTACACTCCACACTCATCTGTACCGTTGCTGTATTTTTTCCTCAGCTAGAAGTCAAGAAATTGAAAAGTTCGCTCATTCAAAAAGGAGCTATGCCTTTTCTATAAAAATTTTTGCATACTACAAGCCTTTAGAAGTGTAATGGTAAACTTTCAGCTTTCCACAAGCTGTAGATTTGAAAAAAAAATAAAAATAAAAAAATAAAAATTTAGTTTTCCTCACTCGAGCTAGGGCTTGTGAAAAGCTGAAAATCTACCGTCATACCTTAAGAGACTTCAGCATACGAGAGTGGTTCAGCTTAGTGAGTGTCTGATGTGTGTAGGTAATTCATGTGAGCAAGTGGGAGATCAGCAGAACTTTTTTAAACAAAGATATGTTTTCTTGATTTTTGGGTAACCAATACTTTTTGGAACTGCAGTGAGCTTGCGGTGAATTGAAGCTATACTATACGAACTTTCATGCACCATCGTATAGAACCTGCTCTATCAAACGGTACCCTGAGACCCTATTGAAATCATGAAGTGTATGACCTCTCGCCGTAAAAATTGAAGTGGAACAAAATTTATACATGTTACAACTTAATACTGAATTAGCAAGCAACGACGGAAGAAACGGAAAAGAAATATGCTTAAATTTGAAATGACGGCTGATGCTCTGCCATAATCGGTTTTCTACTTCATTGAATTCTCCCACAGGGGTGCTAGTGGTGCTATACCTCGTAAAGGCATTTCCGTCTGGGACGAGACTTTATCCTGACCAACGCGTTTCTGGTTCTCTTTCCTAATCTCATTCTCGTATATAAAGAAACGTAAGCGCAGTTCAAAAATCTGCAAACAGCGGGAAACCGCGTGGCCGTCCGGAAGCGCGCAGATGCAGTCTGGTACCTCAAATTACTGATTCACTAGTCTAAATCATATTGGCAGGACTCTTGCACGTGGTCATTCGATATTTGAATGACTATTTCGCAAGAAAACGTAGCTCAATTACTTTGGGGTGTCTGGTTGCGGATTTTACAATCATTTGTTTGTTAAGACCCTGAAACGAGAATAGCGTAGCAGCAGAATTAGCACATCGGAAGAGCAAAGTGTCAATGGTAATCACACCATTTCTTGCAGGAAGGTCAAAATGACAAGTTGTTGTGCATTTCTAAGAAATGAAGGAAACTTACAATCTCGGATCTTCGCCTACGTCGTGGTCGCACTGGTGCACATATGCTTATCTGTAGAAGTGCTACTTAACTTGAGTATTGTTAATCGTAGAACAAGAACTTTTTATATTTTGTCTTGCTCGTCCATTCTCCATAATATAACAGGCGGAGCTTTGTCGACGTTTGTCACCGTATGCGCGTGGAAGTTTTTGATAGCTAGAGAGTCCAAACTAATGCTTTGAAGTGAGGTTCAACAAGTTTTTCAACGTTTCAAATGTCCGCAGAGCTACGCCCGCTATACGCATGCGAATCGCCTATACCAGTGTAGTACCAGTGTAGTGCCGCAGAATCTCATTGCCTTCGCTGTTTTTGAATAGGTTTATGATCTGTGCTAATCAATGTATTTTCTGTGCTTTGAAGACTGAATATTACCCTATTCAGGTGTATAAGCCGCACCTTCTTTGCTCTGCGAGCAGACCCACTCAGTAATCGCCAGGGGCAGGCGGCATGCGAATTTTGAGCAAGCGCCCACCGGAAAATACTTCGCTGATTTCATGCAGTCCGCTTGCAGAAATCTAATATATAGAGAATCGTAAGCGCAATTCAAAAATGTGCACATAGCGGGAAACTGCGGCGCGGTCTCGAAGCGAACGCTCTTGCCAATAGCACCTTTAGATTGCTGGTTCACTAGTTTGAAAGAATGTTGGACAATTTTTAGAGGAATGCTCGGAGAAGTATGGTATTTTTTCTATTGATTAGTTGCGGCGCAGTGACCGCATTCTCGCGGACTTTCCGCAAGAATATGCAGAAATATTGGGGGCCGCACGGTCCTTTGTAAAGTACCGCACAGCCTCTAGGTACCTGCTGAAAGAAGGTACCTCAAACTTGAGTAATTAAACCATCGATGGCACCTCTGCCACACAGAGTCTCATCTTTACTCGGCGTATGCCCGAAACTGTGTTGAAAGAGTCCTAGCGCTTGCTGAAAGTTTAGCTAGCGCTCGCTGAAAGAGGTTATTTGCCGAGCGCTTGCAGAAAATGCTGTATTGTTGCCTGCTTGCAGAACATGCGACCGCAAAGGAAGTGCCGCCCGCTGAAGGTTTGGCCACACCCCCAAAATTCTGCTGACCGTCTGCAGAAAAGCGCGAGTTTGCGGACCGCCTGCCCTCCGCGATTATCTGAGGGTGCGATAAGGTGAGAATGACCCCTCCAGGGTGAAGGGGGTCACAGCGGTCGCAGCCCCTCCGGGTGAAGGGTGTTTCAGTTGATCGAGAAATCACAAAATGTCGACCGGGAAGGGGGGGGGGGAAGGATTGGTGGTCCCCATTTCTTCTTTGTGCAAAAATTTCTTTGCTTAAATGTAAGGTTTCACTTTTCTATTCAAATGAGTTGGAACTAGAAAAGCAGTCTTTAAAATAGTACAATTCATTGAAAACATAAACTCCATGAAATCTATTTTGGAAAATTTGACAACGATCGAGCTTGCCATTTTCCCTACCCACCTCTCAATCCCCAGTCTCCTTTGTACTTTGCAAACATGCACTCTTCAAACTTCTTGTATCTTATGTTCATCTGTGGACTACTGAGTACCTGATTAGAAATGGAGCTTTAATTTTTGAGCTATTACGAATTTTCTAAAAAAAATTCGTAATTTCTGTAGACGATCAGTAACGTCAGTAAGGAAAATGTTTTCATAACCTTCTTGTCTTCCGCTTTCAGAGAATATATAGTTTGCTTGGAGTCTATTGGAAAAGTGCTTGGAGAAGGGTGGGTAGTGATTTCTGGAGATTTACGAGTTTCTAGGATTACAAAACCGTAACTTTTGTAAGTGAGCATCTTGTACGCCGTAGTGGTCACCTTCGGAACCGTCTCGTTCTCCCCTTCCAGAAACTATATACTTTGCCTGGAGTCTTGAAAAAAGTGCCTGGGTGAAGGGTGTCCTAGTGATTTCTGGAGATTTTCGAGTTTTTAACATAAAAAAATTCATAACTTTTGTAGGTGAATATCTTTTGAGCCGAGATAGTCAATATTGGAACCGCCTCGTCCTCAGCTTTCGAAAATATATACATTGCCTGGGGTCTGTTAGAAAAAGTGCCAGTGAAGGGTGGTTGAGACTTTTATAGTGGGAGTGCTCAAGTAGACGTCTTTTTACAATGGTAAAAAAACCTCTACTTGAGCACTCCCATTATAAGAGTCTCAACTACCCTTCACCCGGCATTTTTTTAACGGACCCCAGGCAAAGTATATATTTTCGAAAGCGGAGGACGAGACGGTTGTAATGTTAACCATCTCGGCTCAAAAGATATTCATCCACAAAAGTTATGAATTTTTTTATGTTTAACACTCGAAAAACTCCATGAATCACTAGGACACCCTTCACTCAGGCACTATTTTTAATGGACTCCGGGCAAAGTATGTATTTTCTGAAAGCGGAAGACGAGACGGTTTCAATGGTGGCCATCGCGGCGTACAAGATGTTCATCTACAGAATTTATTAATTTTTTTACGTTAAAACTCGAAAATCCATAAATGTCACTAGCACCCTTCACCGCAATTTTCTTTGAGGGATCCCAGTCAGAGTATACATTTTCTGGAAGCGGAGGACGAGGCGGTTCCAATGGTGACCATCAGCATGTATTATCTATACATCTACGAAAGTTATGAATTTTTTTATGTAAACTCAAAAATCTCTAGAGATCACTAAGTATTGGGTGAGTGACTTTTCATACGATGAGCAATTCCGAGGTGCGAGGTGTGAACACCTACGGCTAAATGTCAAGTCTCGCACCTCCGTGTCTAGTATACTGTAGAGAGGGGGGTGGAGGAGGACTTTTCATACGAATGCCTCCACATCATCTTTTGGCAAGGATCCAGTAAAAATTGGCACCATGCCAGGTTTGGCCCTGCTGGCTACATTCCAAAAAAACATCTAAATTAGCTTTTGCAGTACCGCGAACTTGGATAAATTTGGAAAACTTGAATACTGTATGGATTCAAAAAGTGTTTTGCTGTGAAAAATAACACTATGATCGTTCCACTTACGAATTTTCTAATGTTCAAGTCGACATAATTCGGTCTCTTTTGCAAACTTTTGAGATTTGAGTATTGTCACATGCCTCTCCGACCTTTCAGCATGACCCGGAAGTGTTACTCTTCCCATAGGGGATGTTGGAGGGGGAAGACGGTCAAGAGGCACGATTTTTTTGGGTGTCATCAACTTAAAACTCCAGTTTCATGCTTTGGGAAAATTCAAAAAGTGCCGGACAAAGTTCATTGGCTTACTAGCTGTTTGAAGTAACCACTTGATAAGTTTGACAACTTTTACTTGAAGACTGACAGAAATATTTACAAAATTGCTGTTGACTGCATTTTTATGTGTTTTTGACCTTTAACAATTTTGTTTGAAATCGATTTCAAGATGATGAGATTGAACAATCCCTAAATTCCCTAATATATTTCTTTCGAAATTTCAAGTAATTCTAGAACTTCATAAAACACTAAATATATGCCATATGCTGCCCATCTGGCAATAGGAATCGCGCCTCTTGACATATCTACACCTATTGGAGGGCATGCGACTCGATAAAGCGAACTATTCATTACCACAATTGTGCCAGTTGTTTGCGAAAATGAATTCGCTGTGGCCTGACGATCTTTACTACGATACGCTATTTCAACCCGATAAGCTTTATACAACAGATGAAATCAAGATATTCTTTAGTTTACGCATTTTTGATAATAAACGTTTCATTTTAGTCCATTGTATCGATGACTGGACATATTACCAGCACCCTAGCATATGCTAGAAGGTCAAAGTGATCGGAGAGCGTTCGTATGAAAAGTCCCCCTCCCCCCCTCACCTAAGCGTAGTGGAGAATCTTACTCATTACGTGGATGGAGAGGTGCGATGTAGGTGTGAGGTAGGTGCGAAGGCAAGGTGCGAAGTCCCCGATCGTATGAAAAGTCCCCCCCCCCCTAAGTATTAGGTTGTCCGGAAATTAATGCCCGTTTTGAATTTCAACCGCAATAAGTCATACACCTCTCGCTTCTAAATAGGATGCAGAGCACCATTAGGTAGAGTAAAGCAAGCTCTACAAAAAGGCCATCTTGCTTTTGCAACAGCTCTCATCCACCTCGAGTTTCGAGCCAAAAACTAAAAAGACTCAGCAGCTCGAAAAATCGAAAAAAAATCGTAACTCAGTTCACAAAAATCCTACAAAAATTCTCACTTGCTCACATGAACACTATTCACATAAAGCATCTATATACGCTTTTGCCGTATTTTTTCCTCTGTTAGAAATCAAGAAAACGGAAATTTCCGTGCATTCGCCAAAGTCGTGATGTGCCGTCCCCACATAAATAGTTGTAAACTACAAACTTGTAGAAGTACAAACGTAAATTCTCAGCTCTCTTTAAGCTTTAGTTCTCAAGAAGTTTGAATTTTAGCTTGGACCACATAACCAAGGAAAGCTGTATTCGGTATTTCTCGAGAACTAAAGCTTGTAGAGAGCTGAAAATCTAAGTCTGTACTTCTACATGCTTGCGGTATACAACTACCTATGTGGGGACGGCACTTTGGCAAAGCACGAAAATTTCCGTTTTCTTGGTTTCTAACGGAGAGAAAAATATGGCAAAGGCGTATGTGGATGTTTTATGTGGATAGTGTTTACGTGAGCAAGTAAGAGTTTTCGTAAGATTTTTGTGAACTCACTTACGATTTTTTTTCGATTTTTGGGGCTGCTGTGTCTTTTTAGTTTTTGGCTCGGAACTCGAGGTGGATGAGAGCTGATGCAAAAGCAAGATGGCCTTTTTGTAAGCTTGCTTTGTTCTATCGAATGGTACTCTGCATCCTATTTAGAAGTGAGAGGTGTATGACTTATTGCGGTTGAAATTCAAAAAGGGCATTAATTTCCGGACAACCTAATACACCCTTTACCCAGGCACTTTTTTGAATCTCAGACATGCCATACATCTTCTGAAGGTGGAGGGCGAAACGGTTCCATCTCCATGTACTACCTGTTCATCTTCAGAGGTTACGGATATTTTTTATCCTAAAAACTCGTAAGTATCCAGAAATCACTACCCACACCCTTCATCAAGCATCTCCTTTGCTTGAACTTACCTCACTGTTGGTTTTTTTCTCGGCTTTTGGTGAAGGGGGTCACCTTGGTCCCGACTCAGGAGTGAAGGAGGGGGGGGGGTGAGAACATTCTCACACTACCGCACCTATGTCACAAAGTGGTCGCTTTCTCGCATATTGCTTTCACTATGCGCTCCGTGCTAAGAGTCAGTCTTTTGGCGTGTTAGCTTCTAGAGGAAAAAAGGTGCAGCCTATACACCTGAACATAGGGTAAGAGATGTCATTGAAGGGGATAAAGCCGGTAATGAAAAAGGCAAAGTGCAAGAATCTCGCAGTGTTACAAGGCAACGTTAAAACAAGGTTCTATACGGAAGCGATGTTGTGTTCTTAGTGTACTGGTTCCATGCTCCTGTATAGGATGCAGCAAAGTAATGTGCCTGCAGTTTTACCGTTCATTGCTCTCTCTCTTTCTTTCTCTCTCTTTCTTTCTCTCTCTCTCTTTCTTTCTCTCTCTCTTTTTCTCTCCCTCTCTCTTTGTTTTCTGACGCTATCAAAAGCAGTGGCTCGGCAAGTCAAAATTCTCCCTTACCTGGAATTTTCTGAGGCGGTGGTGCAAAAAAATCAACCTTAGAGAGACGAGAATGATGAAAGCATGCTTTAACCGTTTCTTTTGAATTTGGACGGGTGGAACAGTCCCCGCAATGCTGGAGACGCAGAGTCGTTGCGGGATCCTTGTGCTCACAAAATTACGGCATGCCGTCTGCAACGGCGGAAAGGAAATCGTGAGCTCATCCGAGAGCGGGTAAGATTGTACGCACGGATTTGAGGGCACTTTTGACAGGGAGGGCTTGCTGCACGGCCGGGATTGCGCTGTTCGTATATTTGGGAGGTAAGCAACCTACCGCATCAAAATTACGAGATGATCAGTTTTGCCAATCCACTGCCTGTACTATACCATTCTGTAGAGCTGGCTTCAATATAGGTTCATGGTAGGGAGCAAAGTAAGTGCCGCTCTTCTTCATTACTGTGGGTTTTCCGTAGGAACTTGCATCATATGGCGCCACTGTGTGATAGACCGTTTGAGACCTCTTTCAGAAAATTCGAAAAATTGTGTAGCACGTTCTCACGCATGCAAAATTTACTACGCGACAGTTTACGAGTTTTCAGAACTTCTTGACTAATGTAATTGAATCATTTTGAGGAACATCGAGTTTCATGGTATAGTAGCGCAATGCAGAAAAATTGGTAAATTGTTCTATACTATAATATAACTAGAAAGCTCTACAAAATGGTACCTCAGCAACGGCAAAAGACAACGAAGCAAGCACTTTTTAACCTCCAAATACTAGACACATTTTTTGAGACACCCTGTCGATTTCCTTGTTTGGAGAAGACGTATAAAAGCCCCATTAGTTTAGCTAATAGCTACATACCTTCTTGCTAACAGTCTCTGTTCCAGAACCCACAAACACTCCATCTTCGACGTAGTATTCCATGTTGAAGCCTTTGTTGTCATTCTGAAAAAATGCGACTGAGTAGTGAAGGTTCACGAAGTTTTGTTACGCAATTATCAGGTAAGTAGCTGGCAACAGCTCTGTCAATAATATATTCGTAATCGCATGCTCACTTACTTCGTGTGCCAACTCCCAGTCCCGTAGTTCATATTTTGACAAATATCGATAAAATCGAATCGATCGATGGCGAAAATTAGCTTACGACACCCGCCATGCCCCAAAGTGTATGTGTGCAAAGTTTGGTCCGAACAGTTCAGATATGGAATTTTCTATCGGAACATACGTACTACACGCAGACAATGAATAGACATACAAACAGACATTCAGCTTCATATGTAAGATGGTGTAAGCCTTCAAAATCAGTTACTGCTAATCTCTAGTAATTTGCAAAGCCATACAAGCTAATACTGGTAATTTGATACTGCTTACGTTCGCGCCGTGCGAGCGGTCCTCCTATAAGGGCTAGCGTACAAGCGGTCGACATGAGCCCAAAGCTTCCGTGCGTGCGGCAAACAGCTGAAGCGCCGTCCTAGCGGCAGGCAATGTTACCGTGCAAACGGCATGCAATACAGTTGCTCGAGCGAGCGGCCAGCAATGCGTCTGTCTTATCGGTCGGCAATACCCGTTGCCATGCAAGCGGTCAACAGTGACTTCGATTTTCTGCTCACTATTTTCACACATTTTGAGGTAAACTACCTGCGTGAGATACGGCGCAGTTTTAGGCTGGCTAAGCGTTGACATATCGTGTACCAACTTCTTTCACAGCAAGGCTTGGAACTTGTGTGAGGCTACAGTTGTCAAGAGTGATGGTGTGGGCTTCCCTACGAAAAGTTTGGCCAATGCTACAGGCATCGTCATGTTCCCAAAATGTGGAAAGGATTGAGCTATCCAAGAAAAATGTCAAGATATCCCACGTACATTTACTCCAACAGCAAGCGAGCGGCCGACCTTCCCCGCGCAAGCTGCGAGCATTAGAGACCTTGCGGGCGCCCCATGTTAACCGTGCCAACGGGCCTTGACGACCATACAATCGCACACACCAACGAGCGACTGTAACGTCGTCGCTGGCCGCCCGCATGGCGCGAGTCCCTGAGTGGTTGTAGCACGACAGAAACCAACAAATTTTTTATAGCGGTAAAAGGTTAGAGGTTTCAACTTTGCCTAGAGTTCAATGTGTGTTTGGTAAGCATACTTGATAACTGTTGCTTGCTTGGGTTAAGAGAGCCGGAACACCACGATTTTTAGGGTTTAGGGATGAAAGGCCGAACGTTTTTATCCAATGACCGACGTGCCCATTAATGTGTTGCTCTCCAATGTTCGTTGGCTGTGCAGCATCTAGCAACTCAGAAGGTACAATATGAATTTTCATGAGTACATAGAGGACTTGACGCTCCGGTATATACTCGCGTTGGCAATATGCTTCGATAGGCTGGCTGCTGGCTGCTCCAAGAACTGGTCCTCGTGGACACTCCCTCTCGGTTTTTGCAGCATTACTTTTACCTTTTTTCAGGTTTTTACTTTGATTGAGAGAGACACGCATGCACGTCGAGCTCCAAGTCAACATCAGCTCAAAGGCAGTTTTAGCAAATTTGTAATCTTTCCATCACCATGGTCATCTAATTAATAAGCAGGGGTAAGGGTGGCGAATGCGTAATGCCAAAACAGGAAGTACATCTGACATTTTTATACTGGGGTTTGGCTCGTCTTTACTCCCTTTTCGTGCACATTAAAAATTTCCAAATTACGTTTGAGAGGCCACACAATACGAGTCAATTAGCACATAGGAGACAATAATCCCTTCATTGCTTTTAGTAAATGTTTGGGGAAGAATTTCTGATTTTAGAACGGCAAGCTTTTTTGAAAGTCCATTTCTAGGGTTTCTCGAAACAAAGTCTTGTTTGATTCTGCTCAAATCTTGCATAGACTTCCTTGATTTATAATGGAAGTCCATCGACTCTTCGCTGGCGTTTTTATGTACCGTAAAGGACTGAACTCAACCAAAAAAAGTAAGGATAAACCATCTCGAACAAGGCTGGCTTTAGGGTAAGACGTCTAATAAAGCGGTTTCGTTAAAGGCAGCGTCCAGGCAAGTCTGGACACATGGGGATTTCATGTGGATAGTAATTTTGGAGCCCTAACTAAGCCACTGCCCAACCGCCAGCTCAGGTAGTGCTCCAACGGCTGAGATATTCCCCTCGAAAGTGGACCTCGCGATCGTATTTCGCATGGATTCGTGGCGCGCGTGGGTCCTGGCGCGAAACTGCTCTAAATCCATGCGAATACGATCGCGGGGTCCAGTTTCGAGGGGAATATCTCAGCCGTTAGTGCACTACCTGCGCTGCCGCTTGGGCAGTGCCTTAGTTAGGGCCCCAAAAGTACCTTCCATGTAAGAACCCCATAGGTCCAGATCTACCTGGACGCTGCCTTTGAAGTGAAACTGATGACAAAAAAACGGAGGAAGGCACTGATATGAATCGGTCTTCTTGCTTAAGAATAGAGTTTTGACCAAGAAAGTAGTCAACCATAAAGAAATCCGAAACTCGTGTCAATTTAAAGAAGTATATACTCCAAACGGACTGATTGTCAGTCCTCTTAGGCCCGTACACATCACGCTGGAGAGAAGAGGGGAGCTGAGAGGGATGCATCATATCTCGCTACTCTAGGTATCTTTTTTCATCCTTCTCCATCTTGCTTATCAAGGTTCCCATACCCTTATGCCTGCGCATAATGGATGCCAGGTTACTGCCTCCCCAGGTGATTCTCAGGGGATCCCGTGGGGATCACCTCTCATTTTCAAAGTCATTTATCTTCCTGAGAAGACAATAAAAATGCTGCAAAATGGTACTGAGAATATAGGCACTGCTAAACATGTGTATAGTAGAAATAAGTAAGATTTCAGGATATCGAGATCTTCGATGAACCACTTTTCGCGAGCTAGGGATTATCGAAAAATTACAATCTTCAGAATCCCTTTTTCTGTCGAAAACATGCTTAGCAGTGCCGTAGTATGTCATCAGTACAATTTTGCAGCGTTTCTATTGACTTCTCAGGGAGATAAATTACTTTGAAAATGAGAGGTGATCCCTTGGGGACCCCTGAGGATCACATAAAATGGCAAAAAACCAATCATCTATGGAAGTAACCTGGCATCCATTATGCGCAGGTATAAGTGTTTGAAAAACTTTATAAGCAAGATAGAGGAAGAAGAAGAAAGATACGTAGCGAGATACAACGCATCCCCTCTCAGATCCTCTCCCCTCCCGAGCGGGGATTTATGTGCATGCGGGCCTTAGGGCCGCATGCACTAATCTCCCCGCGGGGAGGGGATTGCAGCTTAAAAGAAAGCTTTATATTTCGAAACTCCAGATACCTGGATTTCACATTGTGTACCTATCCGTAAGTATTCCTACTACCCTTCACTATGAACATGTTGAACAGGAGCGAGAAGCTGTAGGAATCGCATTTTCCAGCTTTTGTACGATCCCTGATGATCCCCGGCGCTTTTCTTTAAAGTCATTTTTCTTTCTCCGAAGTTAACGAAAACCTTCCAAAGTTGTACTGGACATCTAACACAACAGTGCTAAGCATGTTGCTGATGAGAACAAATGAGTTTTTGAAAAGTCGAATTTTTCGCTAAACCTCAAATTTCGACCTGTGGATCATCGAAAATTTCATGACTTCAAAACATCATTTGTTCTAATCAGCAACATGCTTAGCACTGTCGGTTTAGATAATCTGCACAACTTTGGAAGGTTTTCGTTGACTTCGGAAAAAGAAAAATGGCTTTGAAGAAAAGCGCCGGGGATCATCAGGGATCATACTAAAGCTGGAAAATGCGGTTCGTACAGCTTCTCGCTCCTCTTCAACATGTTCATAGTGAAGGGTAGTAGGAATACTTACGGATAGGTACACAACGTGAAATCCAGGTATCTGGAGTTTCGAAATATAAAGCTTTCTTTTAAGCAGCGATCCCCTCCCCACGGGGATGTTAGTGCATGCGGCCCTTAGTGGCCTTCTGGAGGAGGACCAGCGGGAGAAGTTATTACGTCACACAAATGTACAAAACTTTTTACTTGATACTTTTGTAGATAATATCATAAGAAGTGCTGTTCAAATTTGGTGTTGTCATAATCTTGTCTCTGCGCTGTAAACAAGCCATTTGTTTATTCACTTCTTGCACTCAAATTTAGCGCGTTTTATGGAAGAATACAACGGAGCATGTCTCACGTGGTAACTTGTTTCTGAGGCATGCGTTTGTCAAAGCGATTGCTCAAACGCCTGCATAGCATGCTTTACAATTTCTCCTATGCTATGTTCCGAGAACGAAGTCAGAAACCGGCACGAGCCCGTTTCTAAGCTTCTTGAAAAGAAATCCCCCTGGCTCTCAAAAATTTTACGAAGTCCCCTTTGACCCCTTGCTCTACCCCGTCCCCCTCCGATTGGTGTGGATCCCCGCATACTCACTTAGTTCTTGACAAAACCATTTACCTGCTGCAAGCTGGAAATCTCGCGACTTCAGTCAAACTCTCAAAGAAAAATCACAAAATCCACAGATTTTGCTTCATAAAGCCCTACATGGTCACCGAACAATCAAAATAGATCACGAGCTGAAGAAAGAAGAAGAAGAAGAAGAAGAAGAAGAAAGAAGAATGGAAGAAATCATCAAAATATTGAAAAAAGCTAGAACTGAAAATGAATGTTAAAAAGGAGAGGATGCAGAAAAGTTGACGCTGGGGCGCGATATCTAACAAGGCGATTTTCGAAAAAAAAAGAGGATGAAGAACGGCGGACAGGGGTCGATATGAAATTGTCCCTACGCTCAGTTCCTGACCGGGGTATCCGTCCATACTAAAGAAATCCAAAAAGTATGTGAAGGGATGGAAATATATGCTCCAAACGATCGCGATCGTCTAGTGGCCGTCTGAAGACGGACTAATCTTGGAAAAGGTATTACTTCACATAAGCTTTTGAATATTTTTACATAATTCTTCCGCAAATAATTTTCTATGTATACAATTCAATTTTGGTGTCATATGATTCTGTGTGCGCTGTAAACAAGCAATTTGTTTATTTTAGCCTTGCTCTCAAATCGCGCGCACTTTTCGCCATACACGATAGAGCGTTTCAATCATGTGATAACCTGTCCGAAAAGCGTGCGTTTGGCTAAATGCCGCTTATCCTTGGCGCTCGGTCCCCACTCCACAAAAACAATATCCCCTTTGCTTTTTGCTCCAAAACGAAGTCCAACTTGCTTCCAGATGATCTGTGCCGGGCCCTGAACGAAGTCCAGCCTGCCTCCAAAATCTGTCCTCTCAGCCGCTTCTGCTTAGTCTGCAGCACGAAAAATAGCGTTAGTGTTTCTGTCCACAGGTGAGGTTATGTAAAAATGCCCAAATTTCTTCCACCTTTAGCGTTGTTCCACACTTGAATTGTGCAAAATACTGCTCATGCAGGCACAGGACCGACACTACTAGAAGCCGCATTTCTCATTAGCAGCCTTCCCTCTTTATGCACCGAACAAACTGGAAATGGCACCGATCGCCGATATTGTCGGGAATTTGCAGTCGCTTCAACTCCCTACCGTTCTGAATCTGGTTCCATCCGGCAGTTTTGTTATATCCTGTAATCGGCGGAAATATATACGTAAGACGGTTGTGAGCTGTACTTACCAGCTTAGTGTAACGCGACAGTCTCGGCGAACTTGGGAAGCCTCTGTAACGCTGTACAACTTTCAGCTGAGATGGGCTCAAAAATGAAATATTGCCTGCGCTCAGAGGAAGAACGTAGTGACGGTTCGTATGCAGCAACGGCAGACCGCGAAGAGCGAGCGGATCGTGTCGATCTTGCAGACCTACTGGTACGACTGCGTCGTGACCGACGCGATCTTTCTCTAGTGCTTCTGCGACGTCGGCGGCTTTCACGTCGTCTGCGTCGTTGACGTCGGCGTTCGAGCTCCTATGATAGCTAGTTTTGTTTAGTTTTCTCAGTCACAGATACGCCAAACTGGTTACCCTTTCTCTTCGAGCGTACTCCCACACGAGCCTCGGATCTGTGTCTCGCACTATCTCGCTGATTGTGCCTTGATAACTAACTGATACTGCCTAAACAGAGTCTTGCAATTATACCGGAAATGGAAATTTGGAATGAGATGTTTGTCATAAATTGTATATAATGCAAGAATGAATTGCTGCTTGCCGATGACTTTGTTTTTGTCGTATCTAAACGACTTACCCCTGCGAAGAGGAGTAGTGCCAAATGAAATATAGCGAGGAGCGCCGCAGCAAATGTGCTATGATGTTTGATGGGCAGCATTGACGAGACACAGAAAGTTGACCTTAAGTAAAATTTTGTAAATTCTGGTCTAACTGAGGTACGAAAGATGGAACTCACCACAAAATATTAATATTTATGCATACTGGCGAATGATGATTATATAGCATGAAATACAGAATTTGAAAGATATTCAAGAGTAGGAAAAGCGCGAAACCAATAATCAACAAGGAGCGGATGCCTGAAGTTGTGCGATGAAAGCACAAAATGGTCTGTATAAGAAACTAGCTGTCGTACCCGGCCTTGCCCGGGACAACATCACTTAGGGTTCACTGTCTTTGGATATATGTAACACTCAAAGCAGTAGTGTATCATTGAAGTTTGTTTGCAAAAATAAAAATAAAATGTGTACACTTTTACTCAACAGCATTGTCTCTCTTCTTTTTGAAACATGGAAGACGTGAAAAAACTTGAAGAGCAAGCATTGCAATATAGGTGAAAGAACGTTCGAATAATGTAGCGCCCATTGCTATCCTGAGGATCATTTTTCCTAGTACTTCGCCGCTAATCGGTTATTCTGTTTTAACTCCCGCACTCTACCCTCCTCTCCCGTACTACGACAAAAGTAAGTGCTTCTTTGACTGTCCTTGCTTTAGAGAGCGAATACCTTTATAGCCAAAGCAACAGCCATTCTACCACGTTAAAGATATGTAATCCACAACTTGTGAGCCATTTGGATAACAGATTAAAAAAAACTCAAGGACTTTAGTCAATAAACAAAATTATGATGTAAGCTTTCAGATTGAGAGTCACGCTCATGCGGCTGGAATTCATGCCGGAGGTTCCAACGCTAGAGTGTGTAACTTAGCGATTGGCTCACATCTGCATCAAAAAAAGGCTTTGACTTGCGTTAACAACACTACTACCTCGCACCGCAAAAGATGCATCTCGCAGTTTTAGACAGAATATATAGGATCTACATCTGAACGCTTTCGACCTTGCTTTGATGACGAAAGTTCACAATGGATCGTACTGCTCTTGTTTACATAAGTGTAGGAATGGTTCGGCAATAGCTGCTGATAAGCTTCATTCCCTTACTGAGAGTGCAAAAAATCAATAAATCGATAGAAGGACCCAGCGAATTGTCGAAAAAAGTAGCCTATCTTTTGCGCCGTGGCTTGTTTATAGGAAACAAAATTCAGCCTCTTTGGTTCACATACAAAGGAGTCTATAAGCCACAAACATCCTAACAAACACGGTACAGTGTTTGAGTTTCATATACATATAGATGGTATTGGATTATGCTAAAGTGCCCTGATTTCATGCGTAAAAAGCGCATCTTTTTCGATTTTTTGAGCAGACCGCTCAGCCGCTTCATTGGGTTTCGGAAAGCAATCTTATGCCGCATGAATCTCTCAGGCAATATGCAGCACGGTATAGGGTCGTTTTGGTCGCGAAGCCCTTCGGCGTGTTTGGGCTGCTCGATTTTGGATTACCCTATTTTCAGGTGTATAAGCCGCATCCTTTTTGCTCTAAACGCGAGCAGACCCAGGCGTGTCGCCGCGCATATGTCTCGCGAAGCGGTCGCCTTATCGCATACTGCTCTCACTTAACGCGCTCCATGATGACAACCAGTCTTTTGGCGTGTTCGCCTTTAGAGTGAAAAGGGTGCGGTTTATACACCTGAAAATAGGGTAAATCTCCCGCGCCTTGTACACGCGACATTAGGGTAATAAACATTTCTTTTACAGCTCTAGCGTTAATACAAATGCATGAAGCATCACTCCAAAGAGGAGACCAATTCTACAAAGTGATTGCTATCCGCATGAATCAGAATTCGCCGGAAAGCAAATTCTAGAAACGTTGGGTGTCTAACAATGGATGTCTGATTAGTCGAAGTGGCCTTTCAAATGCATCTTTTACCACTTTGAAGAGCATCAAGCGGTGATTTCAAATCTGTTTTTATTAACTGCCGGGCGCCTCTGCATGCCGAGTTATGAATATTTTCTTGGTGCAATAAACGCATAATCCGCATAAACGCATGATCTTTTCTGCGCTCAAATAGAGCAGTGTTGAGATGGATGTATCAGAAGGAAGGTATTGTTCAAAAGGTTCGCTCTGATAACCAACATTGAACCATGTGAGCAATTCTGACGAATTTTGTTGAAATTATGCATTCAATTTTTCAACTCAAAAAACGCTCATAACTCGACGTTCAAAAGCCTCGGCAGATGGCAAAGACAGATTTGGAATCAGCGTTTGATGCACTTTATAGTCGTATCAGTTTCAGGTGAAAAGGCCACTTTGACCAAACGGGCTTCCTTTAAGAATCGGATATTAGCCAGCAAACTTCCTACTGTCCTTCTAAAGGCTTAGCAGCACTATACGCACAAGAACATTCATGGCTGTAAATTGAGAATAAATGATGGCCAGAAACTGGCAAACAGAATCAAGCGTTGGTTTCATATAAAAAACGACAATCTCGTAATTTTAGCCTAATTATTCTTGACCTATAGCCCGAAAATTCCAGTAACTGCATATATGTGTTTTACCATATGTGTGATACCCAATTGGGACACCCGTAGACGTATTCATCAACGAACCCTGAGGGCCATATACAATTGTATTCCTGTCACTTTTTGTTTTTATACGGAATTTTGAATCATAGTTCAGACCAATGTATTGAGCAAGGCAAGAGCATAACTGATTAGCTTCTTTTGAGAATTTTTGGATTTTGCTTGGGATATAAATTTCTTTGTTTAGACAAAATTTTAAGTTGCTGATTCATAATAAGTGTAGAGGTTGGAGAAGAGATTATGCTCTACATACTAGCTCAATCTGAGACTGATATCGCTCCTGGTGGTATAGTTACGGCCCAAAACTGTGCTTAAAGGCAGTGTCCAGGCAAATCTGGACCCTTTGGTTTTTTGCGTGGAAACTGATGGGGAGCCACTGACTAAACCACTGCCCGAGTTGCAGCGCACGGGATTCACTCATGCCAGAGAAATCGGCGTCCGAATCGGTCGTCCCCGCGCCGTGACCGTAACACTTCAACAGTCTAAACGCACATCACGGTCCCGGCGCGAAACCATGAGGACAGGGTGTGGCGCGGAAACTCGTTGGGAGGGTACGAAATAGCACGGAAAATGAAGATATCTCAAATGTAATCAACGAAAACACCATGAACAACGCGGAAAAGGCAGCCGAGAGAAGCCGCCGCAATAAACATGAAAAACAAGGGCAATTCACGAAAAGCAGAAGAATTAGGAAATTTGCAGTATTTGTGCAACGAGTTTGCGCGCTACATCCTGTCCTCATGGTTTCGCGCCGGGACCGTGATGTGCGTTTAGGCTGTTGAAGTGGTACGGTCACGGCGCGGGGGCGACGGGCTCGGAGGCCGATTTCTCTGCCGTGAGTGAGTCCCGTGCGCTGCAATTCGGGCAGTGGTTTAGTCAGTGGTCCCCCATCAGTTTCCATACAAAAAACCAAAGGGTCCAGATTTGCCTGGACACTGCCTTTAAACGCTGCGGCGCATCGCCGATGATGCTACTCGCCGTTATCACTCGATTAAATAGACAGAACGAAACCGTTCCAAATCAAACTTATCTTATTCTAATTTACAAGGTCTCGCCTACATGCAGGAATCGAAAAACCATAATTTTCTCTATTTGTGAGGTTTTTCGAGAGGCAAACTGAGGAACAGTACTTTTTCTTCACCCTATAATTATATTCAGTCGAAGTGAAGTTTTTAGTTGACATGTGTACTGTCTCAAAATGCATAAAACACTGATTGCAATTCCGCTTTCCTTAACCGCGGCCCCTTCTAGGCGGTGAGGGTTTATCTGGAGCACAAATCTGAATGCGCAGCCACGATAAAATGAGCTGTTTGAATACTTCTAGCTTTTGATGTAGCAGCTAAATGTGGATTTCTGAACTGTTTCGAAAGAACCGTCAGCCTATGGATAACATCGGGGATTACAAAAGAAATCGAATGTGATCAGACGACAACACGTTTTCTATAAAATGTTCATAGAAAGGTTAGTAGAAACACCTGAAGATGCCTAGGCAACGCAAAATTTATCCTCTGGGGCACCAGGATAGGAAGCTCTTATCTGTGCTTTACTCCTGTAAGGGAACGTTCGCAAACTTTTTCAAGGGAAATGTGAATTAGCTTAAAGCTCTATGTGCTAAAACTGTACGGCTTCTCTCCTATTTCTCTGATATCACACAAAAAAGGAGTATCTTAGGGAATAAAGTCAACTATGCCAAATGCAAAATAATACACGAATGAAAGACCGCAGTTTGCACTAGTAGAAACTCGAGTATAGCGAAACTTACACCAAGACTCGAAAATCACTACTGCTAGCGCGATGATGAGCATAGTCAGCTGCAAAAAGCTCATGTAGAACTGAAGCTCTCTGTTACTTTCGCTTCATACCTCGAAGGAAAGCTGAGCAGTATAAAAGGATGACTCAGAATCATCTCTTAGCTCGAAGAACGTAAAAATTCCCATGAAACATACAAACAAAACACACATAGTCTGCAAAGAAAACTAAGAAATAATCACTCCAATTTTTGGAAACTTATCTCACCTCTATTGAAACAACAAGCGCTTTCATGAAGAGGTAATCATCCTGGCGACTCTTTGCCTTTCGGACTCTCCTCCTGAATCAAGGGCCATGAATACAAACGTTTCTCCTCAGTAATCTCTCATCAAGCAGAGGTAAGAGCACAATCATATCAGTCAGTCTCAAAAGTGCTATCCAAAATGGATTATCAGAATCTATTTTGGGCTAAGGGCTATGGGCTAAGGGTCGTTTACGACTGTTTGTTTGTGTGTATGTCTGTCTGTCAAATTCGTGGAGCAAGATGCAGCCAAGGTCTTGGGCCAAAAATCTGTATGACATACGCTGCCAGCATGTTGAACTTCGTGCGAATCTGATGCTTGGTTCTTATAGAAATTGGGCGTCAAGCGGATCCCCATGGGTTTGAGCTCGCGAAAAGGGCCCTTATTAGCTTTTTTGCAAACTCGATTTGACATAGATGAGGTCGTCGATTAGCCCCAATGGTGACCACAAGCGGGATTTTGTGGCGCCAAAAAGCGGTTTGTTGAGTAAATCATCGGATTTCAAACTCCCACATCAAAGACTGAAAAGATTTTTATACAGAGATGTAGCTCAAAATGGTCATTGTCCTTTATACAGTACCGCTCACGTTTTTTGAAAAATAGACGCGGATGTATGGACATGTACGGACATGTCCATACATGTATGGACATGTCCGTACATTCCATACATGTCCATACATTCGCGTCTATTTTTCAAAAAATGTAGCGGTATTGTAGCGACCATCGAGCCATAACAAATGCAGTGATTGAGTTCGTGTTTTTCACAGGAATTTTCCATTTGCCCAAAGTCACGCATCTTGCAAAAAAAGCCTTCGAAATGAGTAATCGTTTTCAACTTATCCGCGAATGCGTACACAAGGAAGGCATATAGTTAGTAGAGGCATTGCGAAGCAGAGGTGACGCACTGGCCTCTAAAATGCGAATGCTTCCCTACCAGGACATTGCTACTTTCCTACTAGAATATTGTTACCAGCATATCATGAGACATCTCGTGATTTACTTCACATAAAGTCGGGAGCAGGTTGTCCACACAAAGTCTACTAATTACCCAAAAACCTGAGGTAGAGCTCTCGAAGCAATGGGTTATGATTTTATCAACCGGACTTTCCTCCGAATGAGACTAAAGGTAAGCAGTGAGCCTAGTACGTGCAGAGATCTTTTGTAGTCTCCTTGACAGTTTGTTAAATGTCGAGCATACATCAGGCGATTTTATCGCCTTGCGATTCTTCCAACAAGACAACTGTTACGTGTTACGAATCCATTGCACGTCAATCATCTTGCATTTCGGTTGTGATAGTTAATCGCGATGAGTCGTGTCGAAAAACTATCACAACCGAAATGCAAAGTGATCAGCATGCAGTGAACTGGTGACGGTTGTCTTATGGAGAGAACTGCGAGGATTACGGCACGCGCCATACTTGATTCGCTTAATCCACTTGATCCGTTTGGTGCGCTTCGTCATTGGTCATTTCAGTGAACTGACCAATAATGAAGTGGATGAAGTAAATCAAGTGGATCAAGTGGACACGCTTCACCGTTGATTAGTTCACCAAACGTGACGGATAAAGCGGATCAAGCGGATCAAGTTTAGCACGTGCCTATAATGCTCTAAATCCTTCTGTTTTTGATGTATCTGTGTGTGCCTGTAGAAATCCACTATTCATGTATTTTATAGAGCAAGTGAAAGCCAAGCTCTCAGCCAGATTTTCATAACATACAGTATGAGCAAGAATGTCTATCGGGGTGATCCAATTTACGGATTTCTCGAGAATCGGTGCGTCAAACGAATCCAAGCGGCTTTTGGCTTGTCAAGCAAAGAGTCGCTATTCATGCGAAGGCTTGGGCTTTCCTGACAAGTAGATTCTTGAGAAATGGATTTCAGCTTAAAGTGACCAAAAGATTTTTCTTTGGAAGATTGGGACCAAGAACGTATGGTTGAGTAAATCGACGATTTATCGAGGTTTTGGCCCAAGATTGTTTCGGCTTCAAGATTTGGTTGTTACATTCCGTTATGACCTTCAAGAAACGTCCGTATACCGTCCGTAAAGCATATCTAGTGACGCTTGATATTTGCATTTGCTTGTCTGCAAAATACTTTTTCTTCCCAAAGCCACCGATCTTACATAAAAAAGTTCTAAAAATAAGATGATGTTTAGAGTTCATGCATGGTGTCAGCATTGCACGGTGTTTCAAAACCATCAAAATGCGAGTGCGAAAAAAGCATGTAGATTATTACTAGTGCAAGCCCCACGAAGCACAGGCGACGCGCTGGTATGTACAGGGTTGGGGGAAAGTCTTTGAACAATTTTTGATGTCATTGTATGTTCTGATTCTCCACATAATCTTGCATACTAATCATATGTATTTGCTTCTTATACCCTTAGTTACAAGTCCTCCAAAAACTGGAATATTAGCTTTATTCCTGTCGAGGATATGCCTTCTGGAACGGAGCGAGCGTTGGTGGCGAAGATGCACGAAGAGAGGATGGCTAACCGGCAGATTGCGCGGGTTCTTCAAACTTTACAAATCAGCGTCTTTTCCACCTTGCGTCGTTTCCAGGATATGAACAGCACCCAGAACTGCTATACGAGTGATAAATTGGCTGCTGCGGACACTCACAAAATTCTGAAGATCGTTCGCCAGCGCCATAGTCGCAATCCTCGGAGAAGGTTGACTGAGCTGGGTTCAAAGCTGTTCATCTCTGGTAGAAAAGTCTCCGACATCGTGGAACAAGGCCTTGGGATGAAGCTTTTCAAGATGCTTATAATTCATGCTTTTTGGGAAGAAACGAAGCTGATTTGACTGCGCGGACGCCATCGAATACCTGAACGCCTATCCAAGGCACGCCACCAAACATACAATTCTCTGACGTCAAAATTTTCACCGTGAAGCAGATTTCTGATCGCCAAAACAACAGAGTCATCACCTAAACGCCTCAGGAAGTCAATAGCAAGGATTGATTGCAGAAAGAAAACTTCATCCGGTTTTTGTGACAATTTGCGCGGCGATCGTTTCCGACTGCAAAATGCCGCTAGTTTTTGAGCTCTCAGTGCTCAAGGTGGACATTGCCACGCATGTGAATAGCATCCTGAAGAAGGAATTGTTGGCCTGGACCAATATCCATATGCTGGGAGCGATTGGTGCTCATAGCAGGATAGCGTACCTGCGCACTAAGTGAAGGTTGTTCAAGCATGGTTGCAAAGCAACGTTAAGGACTTCATTACTCCTGTGGAATGGCCTCCGCATTGGCCGGATCTGAATACCCTTTATTACCGCAAGTGGTCAGTTCTTTAGGCCGAAGCCTGCGCTCACTCACGCAAGACTGTGGAGTCTCTGCGACGTGCTCTTCAGGATGCGTGGGAGGAAGCCGACATGGAGCACCTCCGTGCCACCATGGACAGCGTTCTCAAGCGATTCCGTGCTTGTAATCGCGACAAAGAAGGAATCTTCGAAATGTAAAGACAATTTTATGTAGCAGACAGTTCAGTAAACATTGTCTATTGATTTCATGTAATCACCTTGCCTAGCTTCGTCATTACGATAAAAATACCGTGTTCAAAGACTTTCCCCCAACCCTGTATATAAAACTCCAACAGTAGTTACTGACCTGGACATTCTTTGTCCTCTCACCACAAGTACAGTTTTTTCAAATAGTTCTCGTTCTCTTGCAAGAGATGCTGCTCGCTTTAGGTCTTTCAAACTTATATTCTCTTCCTGCAAGATTTGAGTATGTTATTTTTGCAAGAATTTCATATGCTGAACCGGTTCTAAAATGAGAATCATTTTCCAGTCGTACATGCCTGGGTCAAAGGGTGCGTATGATAATGTTCCAAATTTCAATGGCAAAGTTGCAGCTGCCGCTTGAAGTTTTGTGTCATTGGATAGTAAAATTGTTTTTCATTTTACCAATCGAACCCAGCTTCAATTTTCGAGCTTCCATACCTTCGAATTTTAGCTATGCGGCTCACTGCTTATTTACCTTGATCTTCGGCTCTCTTCATATTATTGCGACTCTACGCAAAAGTGGAGAACTTACCATTATTCTTCGTTGAGCTCTTGGCAAGTATCAGATGAGAAATCGTATTATATGGAGTTGATGGAGCAGATAGTGGAGGTAGATTCAACCGCCCACTATTTGAAGTCAAATGGAGTGAGTTAAACTGCGTTTTTAACCTGCCTTATAATCATCCTTCAATCACCCAGTTACATATTACAACAACAAGAAGATAATCGGTTGATACGAAACCGTTTATTGAACAATCGTTGGCTAATGTTGTTAAATGCTGTTTGCTAATCTTGCACTATAGAGTAGTATTGGGATTATTGAAGGATGAGAAGAGAGGTAAGAATAGAGCCATCAAGACTGCTTATGCCGACTACTGCACATTGTATATTTATATTATTTTATTTAACACGCACAAGGCGTGCCCATACAACAGGAAAACGAAGCGTTACACCAAACAACCAGCAACAAAAAATAAAACAAAAAAAGGCAAACTCCCCACTGAATCAGTTCAAGTCCAGTCCGCAAAATCTTTCTGGGAATGGAAAGGGAGTGAGCTTGTTTAGACATATATGAAGTCATCACAGGTATAGAGGTTCAATGGAGTCTGTCTCATGCCCCCTGCTCTTAGCAAAGAATGCTCTTATTCAACATAAGCAACTGTATATGTTGGAAGCAGGTGTATTGATAGTAATATTGATAAAACCCGCCCAACCAAAACTCTGGGGAGAGAACAAAAATCCGATAGAAGGTGCACAATGCAAAAGTGTAGTTGTGTACCAGTTCCTGGACACGTCTATTGCTTTTGTTTGTGCTTCTCAGACGAGGGAGGCCTTTTATATAATCACCTATATCTACGCCGCAGTGGCGGACCGAGGGCCCCCCCCCGAGAATGGGTCGCGAAATTTTTGAAACTTATCTATATGAGTTATAAAAATGTGCAAACGACTTGTTTGTTTTTGTATATAATTAAAATATCTTTTAATTTTTTAAAAATCCGAACTAGCCTTATAAAAAATTTTTTTCGGGGGCGTGGCTAACGCTACGCACCTTCATCTGAAAAAATTCTTGTCGCCTCCCCCCTCCCCAGTCGGAAATCCTGCGACCGCCACTGCTACGCCGCATGTATCATGAGTTAGGCGCGAGCAAAAATCATAAATATTTTCGAATTGAGGTTTTCTAGAATAGTGAAAGGGTAAAATTGCAGTACAAATTTTCATAATCAAAGAGATTTTTAGTTTGAGGAGCATAATCATCAAGGCTTTTTTGGCAGAGGAGGGTGGCTACTAGTCTAAGAGGTTTACATAGTCTCAACGCATTACATTTGCTTCGAAATTGAAACTTTTTTGAAAACGTATTTCTTCCTTGCAACTCTATTGCTTGATTAAAGTATCTTCAATACTAGTGAACCAGTTATCTAAAGGTGCTATTTGGAACAGCGTTCGCTTCGGATCGCCACGCGGTTTCCCGCTATTTGCACATTTTTGAATTGCGCTTACATTCTTTATATATTAGATTAGATCAGATTGTTTGGCGCCTCAACGGCAGGACTGGCAATGGGTGTGGAATGCTTCAAAGCCGAATCTCCTCTGCCCGTTTTTTTTTTTTCAATATAAAGGAGATCGACGTTTTTAGAATTTTCAGCGAGTCTGGCTAAGAGCAGAATAGGCCAGATCCACCGCCGTCTAGACAAAGGTAAGGGGCAACAACGGTCTTAGTCCACTTCTGGGAAGCTATCGCCTCATGGAGGGAAGTGTACGATCTAGTGTCTTCTAAAAATCCATTGTCTTCAGTAAGAAAATAAGAGTATTTGTACACATGATCCTACCTGAAGCAACGGGTGTATTATCGGGTGTCGAACAATGACCGAATCGCACTGAGCAAAGTTCCTTGGAAGACAAATGAAATGTTGAGTAAAACAGTGGAAATTTTACAGAAAGGTAAAAGACGAACACTTGCCCAGCGTCACGAGGAACTTCGCTTGGAATGGCTTGGCCACCCAGATTTCCGGTAATTGAACAAGATCGATTAGTTGCTCATGGCACCACTGATCGAACAAAGTTGACTCGCCTGGGTCAACTAGTGTCAAAAAGCAGGATGTGCTCTACAATTCCACGGTCTTTTCGGTGCTGCAGAACACATCGAGTACTACACCATCGATCTGAATAAGAGACTGGGAAGAATGTTGGCGAGACTGCGTGATGGACTTGAGCAGTCCTATGAGAAAATCCATCACGAAAGGCTCATAGTGTTGAATTTGTCATCCAACCATCTACCGTCTCCGTCTGTCGATGCGCATATCCTATCAACTCGATGAGCATGTTATGTCTAAGCATTTTACTCGGTCGTTCCTGTCGTCCTTCACCACCGTCATCCTAAACTACTCAGCAACAATAGATTAATTCAAAACTATATGCATTCTGCGAAGACGGTACGTTTAGGTAGTCTGGAATGAGAAGTCCATCGCCTTTTTTGGCGCAAGACTTGTTCTAGAATACTTTAGGAGAAGGAACAATGTTGGAGTACTTTCCTTCTGCAGTGCTACGATCACTGAATTTTTCAAGCAAAAGTACAATTCAGTTAAAAAAAAGGTCGCAAAAAGGGATGAAGACCGGAGACGATCCGATTTGAGAAGCTCAGTTCAAGTCGTGATTGGTCCATTGAAGAAGATACAGTATATGACCACGGTCGGCCTCTGAAAGGATTGTGAGCCTGAGAATGCGCGCATTCACTCCAATAAAATTTGAAATGCACTTCAAAAAAAACAAGAAGCTTCTACAAAAAATTACTTTGAGGCAGCATCCAGACGCAAATTTCTTTTTGAGTGACCTGTACCGAACCAGCTGCACAACAGCTACGCGGAAAGATTAGGATTAGAGTCTTCAGAGGTCAGAAGCGAACGTAGTGAATGCAGCGTTGGACTTAGTCAAAAATGCTGATCTAGCTGAAAACCTTACCTGCGGAATGCTTTTCTAAATTTTTACAAGTTTGTCCACTTTATTTACATCATTTCGCATGGGAGCACTACAGTCCCTGCTATTATGATGTAATGGTGGGGCGCAAGTGCGGCCGTTCATTGTACAAAGGGTCCGACATTCAAATGCATTTAACAGTGGCGTTTTTGCACATTTGTTTCTGAGCCCACACCTTTCCTTAGAAAAACATCCCGAAGACAAGGGTTGTATTTTAAGCTCACCATACATCACTGACGTGAGCGACGTGTACCTCATGTCGAATGGTCATTTCGACTGAAGAGGCATTTTTTGTATGTTTGCTTGGTCACTGCTAACATCACCCATCACTAATTCCAGAGGAAGTTCACCAGGAGTGGTAGTAATTTGGTGGAAACCAACGAATGATGTGATCAGGGCTCGGCACAGCTGGCACCGGGTCAAGCTGGATATCGTTTTTGGGGCGGAGCAAAGGGGATATCGTTTTTGCGGGTTAGATGCCGCTGTTTGCTAAAATGCTAGGGGCACGCCGCCGGCAAGTCGCCAGCAGCGTGCCCCTGGGACAAACAAAAGCCTTTTTTAAAACCAAAACGCAATCATACGACAAATTTGGTGTGTGCATGCGCGTTGGGGGACTCGAAACATGGCCCAAAAATTTATAAAAACTTATGTGAATGAAAGCTATGCTGAACTTTTTTCTGAATTAGCTGGCACCGTGCCAGCTGGGTGCCGGCTGAGCTGGCACCGACCCTTTGCTCGCATAAGTTTTCATACTTTTTTACATGAACTGTATCTCCACTATGAAAGTTTACATACAGAGCAAAAACAATTTCATAATTTCTTTTCTGCTTTTTATAGCCATCTGAAAATTTCGCGGCCTGCCCCGCAGTCGAAAAATCTGCTCCAATCACAAAGCGCGCCCTAAGCAAATGCAAAACACGTCAAAGGGGACTTCGTAGGAAACTTCTAGGATCAAAGGGGACTTCGTTTTAGAATTTCCCTAGTGCCAGCTAGTGCCTAGCCCTGGATATGATGGTTCAATCATTACATCGTGGTTAGCACGATCATCTTCTTACGGCCGTTCAGTTCAATCGGTCTTCGGCTCCGGGTCAGGAGTCACACCGCGCGCGGCGGCCGCTTCGCCGCGCAAGTAACGCGCGAAAATTTCTTAATGCGGATGGACGAAGTGTTGCGTAATGTCTCGGTTATTCTGCGTTTTAGCGCGGACGGCGCGCAATTCAAATCGCAGTCGGTCTTCCCGATCAATAGCTGCCATTCACTACGCTCCTTTTCTAATCTTGCTCATCATTTTCTAGTAAATGCTCATCACTTTGGGTGAGCTCTTATGCCTTCCGTTTTCTGTGAACACGCACATTCATAGCATAGCCAATTGCTCTCAATCACACGATTTTTTGGAGTTGGACAATGTAGTTGATGAACTTAGTTTTGGTTTGACTACTTATTTGTCCAGAACCTCTTTATTAGTTCGGTTTCTTTATTTGAAGTTACCCAGTTTTATTATGCATATAGTGATTAAAACTTCACACATTCAAAAAGCTTTTATTTTGAATCTCCTGCTTTCAAAACAGCTATCTCGGGAAGCACGCGCATATCCAGTCTACAAGGCTGAGTATGCGCGTGCTTCCCGATCTGAACAGAACTACCAGCTACCGCAAAGTCAAACAAATATCACGTCAACCGATATTTTAAGGACTTTGTTCTTGTGAGGCTTTCATTTGGAGTAATCTCTTAGTCATAGTTTTATGTACATATGTATATATGTACATATGTTCTCAACGCAGTGAAATTCACATCTGCTGAAGAATTCACGAAAGGCAATGCTAATTACGTCGTCCCTGGCGAAGAGTGGACTAGCATGCAACCATTGGCTGAAACTGTTCCGTCTGGGCTTGGAGACCCACCGCTATCATCACAGCAACCGATGCTGTTGCCACTGACAAGGTAGCTGTTTTACTGTATCTGTTTCAGTTGAAATTCCTTTGACTCTAGGCACGAACGAAGCGTTTGATCGCATCTAAAATGGATGAAGCGAGTGGATCACCATCCGCACCGAACGGTAAGTACAACCATTCTTTGAAGGAAAGCATTTATCAATGGCGTGATATATGCGTGCAATGAGAATTTAAGCAGAGGTCGCAGTGATTGTTGAAATTTTTTAAAATTTCTTTTGTAGGACCAGAAATTGACATGCCGGCAAACTTGCTCCCATATAAGAGAACGGAATATCCAGATGTCATGCCTGATGCGTGAGTTTTGTTTCTTGAAGATTTATTTGATTCTAATTTTTTGATAGTAATTTCGAGCTTTTTCAATGCAGCAAGCGAGCTCTGATACTCGATGTATTTGCATAGGCAATTATGTTTTTCTAAAAACGATTTAGGTCTAAACTTGGCTTCTGCATACTTCATTTCGAGGGAATAAACATTGTCGTGCGGAATGCTAAAAAGAATTTGTCTCAATACCTGTGCGGTCGCTGACAAATACCACATCTTGTAAGTTAGTATTATCCACGCATTTTTTACTGAGACACATGATGTTGTAAGAGTTATGCTTCTGGAGATGCTAACTTATGCTCATGTCGTGTCGTATGCTTATCTTCGTGTCAAATGGATCTTTATTTTCTTTCTCTGTTGTCGATTCACTCATCAAGATAGTGTTGGAGCGATTCACCACTGCTATCCGAATGGCAACCAATGCGTCCGTTTTTTTCTATGCATATATCGTGGCCACGGTATCATCGATCATGTACAGGTTCCTGAACGATGCAAAGGTGGTGTCCATCGCTAATGGTGAATTGTCATCACTGGCGTTAAACAATGAAGCAATGGACGCTAGTAAGCCTCCACAACCTTCACCTGAAGTATTGCCGGACGAAATTTGCGTGTATAGTAACGCCGTAGTTGAAGCTTTGAATGGGTTGCTCCGAGCCCTATGCTGGTACGTGCTTGAATTCCGGAAATATACTTTTGCAAATCCAAAAAATAGTTCTATGCGTAAGAGAATCTTTACGCAGTATACTGATATGGCTTTCTGGCCAATCATCGTTTTTGCATTTCAAAAAGGCAGTAGAGATCCTTAGTTCCCACTTTCTTCCATTCTTAAACCATTGCATTCCCTTCTTGTTCCCATATTCTGGAATAACTCGTCTGTTTGGAACAAAGCTGAGTCCACAGATCTACGTGAGTCACAGTTATCTTCATTTCTCATAGTGCTGTATCAGCAGAATTTTCTCGTTCTCGCCACTCTGCTCACAATTTGTCAAAATAGTCACAGAATTCACTAGAGTTCACCGGAATTTGTGTCGTATCCCCGTGTCTCGGTTCAGAGTATACGGACTCGGAGTTCAAGGGTATCGTTCTAGCTTTGTGAGCCCATCTCCTCAATAGATGAATCTGTTTGGGTGCGACATGTGCACAAAATAGACAATCCCATTTCGAAATTACTTTGAGTTATGCTTTCGTTTCGCTGATATGAAAGCACATTCTCGAACAAACATTCAAGGGCGCATTTTTGTTTATGTTGTTTCCTGTGTTGTTTTCGAAATCAGCATGCCCACTTACCCTCTCTATGCCAACTCCCAGCCTTGTAGCTCAAACTTTGCCAAAAAGCGATAAAATCGATAAAAGTATTAGGTAATATCAAAAACTAATGTTGTGTTCGTAATCAGTATGCTCTGTTACCCTCCTGTGTCAAATCCCAGCCCCGTAGCTCAAACTTTGCAAAAAATCGATAAAATCGATAAAAATAGTGGACGATTTCAAAAACTAATATTGTATTCGTAATCAGCATGCTCGATTACCCCCCTGTGCCAACTCCCAGCTCCGTAGCTCAAACTTTGCAAAAGCGTGTGATCTTGGAGATCAAACATCGCACATCAAAAAATCTATCAATAATTCCTTCCAAAAATCACGTGGAGGGGAAGATATTAGTTTCTTCGACCATGCCAAGTGAAGCAGCAACATCACTTCAGTGCTACACCGGCGAAAAGGACGTCAGCCAGAAAGGAGTTCACCCCATCATTCACTACAGGATCCCAGGGACTAGGATGTCGTACGTCTTCATCTTTAAAGAAGAAACCAGAGGAGTGACATGTACGCCTGCAGAGCCTGCAAGAAGAAACATAACCATTATATGGTTGTAAGGGTAAGTATTGCTAAAGCTTGTGTGATTTTAATCCTTTTCGATTCCGTAAGGGTGAGAGAGTGGGCGGGGGTTGCCAAAGACCAGGGTTGAGGGTGGGGTTAGACGCGCCCGACCTGGGGGATCGTATTGAGGGTAAGACTGAGGGGGGGGGGTCGTAATTAAGAATCGAATTGTTAAGTTGGGGAGGGTAAGACTGATGGGGGGGGGGTCGTAATTAAGAATCGAATTTGTTAAATTGGGGAGATACTGCAAAGGTGAATAAGAAATGCGTTAGTCCGGTGGATATCGCGATCACATGAAGGAGTGACGGTGATAAACAGCATACTGATTGTCTCCACAATAGAAGTTTCAGCCAAAATTCAAATCTTTATCTCTTTTACCTTGACATATGTGGTCGACAAGGCTGCTTGCTGTGTAAAATGGGTATCGTTTCCATAATCAACATGTCAAATTACCTCTATGCGCTCTACAAACCATTACCTACTGCAGTTTCTAGTGTTTCTCAACGTCTAGAAAACGTGATTTTCAAGCGTGATCAACTCGTTGCAGAAGTGATGAAAGTCAGCTTTGTATACTCATAACAAAGTAATGTTCTCTACAAGTCTATGCTAGAAAGCGGGCTTCATATCGCTTTCAAACAGTGAAGTAAAAAGTGCTGCCAAAATTCTAACCGACGCGTTTTTCACGTTGTGTGCTTCGACTCCTCGGATTAGCACAAGGCCCAAACAACTCGATTTAAGCTCAAACACTCACTGTGGAATCTCCGAGGGTGTCGGGCCTACAGTTTTTAAAAATAGAAACCTGCAGTGAAGGCTGGTCTTCTTCAAAATATAACACCCTAGGACTTGGAGGTGAAGCGGAGGGTTGTTTAGGGGCTTTCACAGGGGGGGGGGTCGTTTTTGAAACACTTGTGCCTGACCTCTTGCTCAACCCTGCCAATAACTCGAGTCTACCAGAAGGTAGGCAGGCCGCGGGGTGTCGCTTGGGGCATGATTATCTACGGCCTTTGTTGTACTTTGGGCATTAAGAAGTCTTGCAAACGGCACCGACTCAGACATCTTGCATCGGCCCGGGATTGCAGGGAACGAGTTTCAGTATCTTAGCTCACCCCTAGGGTGGCCCAGATGTGCTAGCGCGGGCCAGCATAGAAAACGAGTATACAGGCTGTCCCGCTCGTCGGAGTGACAGGGTCGCTGCACACACTGCAACCGTTGGTGGCCCGCACTAGCATGGCAGGGCCGGGCCCGGCACGGGTTTTCGCCCAGCCGGCCATGAGCGCCCGAGTATCCGCAAAAAATGTCTGAGGAAACGTGCGTTTTTCCAAGAGGGTGCACAATATACTTAAGGAGATTCGAAATTTTTTCGAATATTTGGATATCAAATAACATTCAAACATCAAAATATTGAAATATTCGACTATTGAATAATATTCGAAATCTTAGGTTTTCGATGATTCGAATTTTCGAATCATTGGCGTTCGAATGAATTGAATAATCGAATAATCATTGGACTCGGCCTAAAGTATAGTGCACAATGAAAAACTGGAAGTAGAACAGGTTGCATGTACACTAGTCAAAATGAATTGGGCACATTGGGTGTCAACGCGCTAGGACGGCTTAATTAGGGGTTTCATGATTTTTTTTTTGTTAAAATTTCTTATCTATCATTTTGTTCGCTAAGCAGTTTGTTGTTCCAGGTTGTGGGAAACGAAATTTATGACGACCCTTGCAAAAATCATAAATGCTGTCCTATAAATGCTTCTCTTGACAGGGCGAATAGAATCATGTACGAGGTACATAACTTTCCCTAGAAGCATCCGCTTTTAATTGCGTGTAACTGCGTAAACGCATTTTTGGGAACCCCGATTTCAGACATGTCAGAAAATCAAAAACACTGCCGATTTGGCATCCACTTCTGTCCAAGAAGTTTGGGAAAATACACTTCAAGTTGCAATGACTGAGGAAACATCTAGAGACGAAGTGGTAGCACACTTCTTCTCTATGTTGTCTTTTTTCTAGCCCAAACAACCAAAAGTTTTAGTAGAGCATAAGTGCTGTACAATATGTACAGATTCAATCTTTTAATGTATGCGAATTTTGTAATGGCCGTTCCGGGTTTCAATTGGCATGCTGCGGGTCGCTGATCCATATCTTTAACTTCTTAGGAGCAGGGAATTGTTGAGTTCTTAATTCAAATAGATTATATGGTTGGCTTTCGCATACTTCATTTTTTCATTTCTTTTTTTCTATACAAATTAGCAGACTGCGCTACGTTAGTTCATGATCTTTTCATTAAGATATGTGTTTGTCACAATAAAAACGCTTTGTAATAGTGTACGTCAACCATTGTACACACGATGTTCGGTCATTACTTTGAATATAGCAAGTTTTGAGATCAGGAGTGGTATACTTGCTCAGTGAAGTCACGGTCACGTAGTTTTGAATGGTGTATATCTCCGCACATTGAGTTTCTGAAATGACCTAAATCGTATGTGTGAAAACGAGAATAAGTAGTTTCTGTATCTTCTTGAGAGCCTCGATTTTCCTTTGCAAGGCAACTACGAGTAGGAAGTTGATTCTCGATCCTGAATAGGGCTTACACGTATCATGAGGGACCAGTTGCCAGCCAGTTAGCATAGGTAGTTCGTCGTCTTCATCTTTGATGAACTGCAGTGTTTTCCTGAGGATGAAATGATCATTGCTGAGCAGTGTGCGGTGAGTTTATGAGTTGGCTTCAAGTGCTAAACTTTTTTTTCATCCGACTTTTTGCAGTTTTGCTAATAGTGGTTCGACGACCAAAAATGCTTTTTCGGGCGTAAGGGCAAGGTCATTCTTGGGTGGTCATTCCCAGAAATTCTTCGTTTTTCCACGAAAGAGCGTTCTAACTTTCTACACCTAGCAACACGGCAGTCAGGAAAATTATCTTGGTGGCTTTCTATAAAGCTCTGCGTTGTCTTTCTTTCTAGTTCTACATAACGCAATTTCTCCAACTCTCCAACTATGTACGATACCGCTCATAATTTGTGAACGAAAGATCACCGCACCCGCCTGTCAATGATTTGACGAGAAACTATAAAATTTTGTTCATTTGAAAATGATGCTAATTTTTGCCAGTGCTTACATATTTAGAAAGGGATTAAGTTCATGAAAACATCGAGCAAATTTTCAAATTTTTTTCATTTTTGTTGTATACAGAAGATGGATGCCATGGTTTGGGTCAGAAGAAAGAGAGTATTTGTGACCAAACTTATCAGTAAAGACACTGTGGAGGTATGTTTTACTTTCCCACAGTGTCAGGTTATCATTTTTGATCATTCTCCATTTTAGGTTGATATTCACACCCTGGCGCGGAAAAAGCTGTCACAAATGGAATCAAAGGCCAAATCGAGGTGAGTCATAGCTAGATATCTGTTACTGATATAGCATCTCTCTTCTACAGGAGTGACGAAACATCGCGTGGATCGGTTCTGTGGAGTCGAAAGAAGAGAAAATTGACAACGAGACTTTGAATTAGCTGCTTGCAAGTGCTTTGAAGCGCAAGTCAACCGGCTAAGTTTCTTGCAACGGTCACGTTTTTTGATCTGCCGGCACTATCGACCTTATCTTTATCTTTGTTTTGAGAAAACTCGTACCTTGCTTTCGTCTTTGTACGAGCCCTGTTTATTCTGGATCTCTCTCAAGCTTGAACAATACTTCTACTTTCTCGGTCATTTTATGTAGAATTGATGTGACTCATAAGCGCAGCTCTGCGTTAAAGTCCTCACACACTAGGTTGTTGAAATTAATGATATTATACGTTGGAATATGGGTACGTGGTTTGAGAAAAGTCAGAGTTTCTATTTGTATTGAATTTGTTTCCTTGTTGTTCGATTGCCTAACCTGTTCGTTTATCTTTGGTGGCAGTATTAAATTTTCCTGTCGATTAGTTCGTCAGATGACGAGGTTATGGTCCACAAGGATCCGGTTCAGTGTAAAGAATGATTTCATGTTTCATGTTCAGGATTTGTGAAGTGTTTGTATTTCTAACCCAGTGGAAACTGCGTTTTGGCAGTTAGAATGAAATTGTTGAACAACTGATCATTCGTGAAGATGTCAATCAGATGTCTAGCTGACTAACCACTTTTGCAACTCAAATAATTCTGTCGAATTATTTGAGTTGCGCCCTCTCTCTGCCAGTTCATGGCAGAGAGGAACGTTCATCTTACAACCGTATTCCAAATAATAAATGGTAACCGTTGGTGGCAATTCCAGCAGGATAGTATCAGACGCGTAAAATGGTGTCGCTGTAGAATGGAAACAACAACTTATGCAACGTCACTTTGGACGAACTGAAAACTCATTTTATGCATTTTTCGCATTATGTTGGCTACATGATAAACTATTGCTTTATTTACTGCTCATAGCATCTGCAGTTGAAACGAGTAACACATAACAATAAGGGGTAGCAAGATGAAAAATTCAACAACGAGGTTAATTGGGTCCTGATATTGTACAATAATAAGGTTCATCATCAGAGACATCCGAGATTCTAAAACAAAACTACAAAATTCTCAAAATCCTCGAGCCAGTGAACCGTTCGGATTATCATGTTTACATGCTGTTTTTGAACAGTACGCACGTCTAAAAATCCGCAAACTTACAAACCCGTGAATAATAAGGATAGACTCACTTGAACGGTGGTTGTAGCTCTGCATAACTATCAGTGACAAGCTTCAAGAGCAGACTTCGCTTTTCGAACGCCTGAAGCTTTTGAAAATGCGACACTACAATTAAGATAAAGTAGCCAGAAAAGATTTACCTCGTTAGATAGATGACAAAGCGTGACGATGTTTGAAAAAATCGAAGAAATCAGATTGTAACACTGATAGCTTTGAATTCGGAGAAAAGGCACCTAAAGCTATCGTGTCGAAAGGGATAAGCCATATTAGCTGGTGAGAGTTCTAAGGAAGTACCATTAACGTCTTCCTAGACTTAGATACCAAATTGAGGAAATTTATATTCCGGAACATAACTTTAACAGTGATGTGAAATCATGATTAAAAACCAGTTGACCGATGGAATGGGAAGAGAGAATGAATAGCCGATACAGCCGTTGGTATGCGGAACGGGCCGGGAGTCACGCTGCATGCTGCAATAACGCCGCGAAGCGACGGTTTGCCCGTTGAAAAACTCTTCGCTCTCCGCAGAATTGCCGCGTGCGGTGTGACTCCTGACCCGCAGCCCCTCGCTGCATTGCTTTCTGACAACAAACATGCTCTATCGCCAGCGGTGAGGAGTCCTTCAATGTTACGGGAATCTCGTACAGCCCTCGCCGCGTACAGAGATCGCTTCGCGAAAAATTCGCGCAAATCGTGACTCCTGACCCATACCCATACAAAATCATGAAACAAGCAAGTAAGCAACATGCTACCATGATTGTTCCATGACTGTTTCAGAACCAAACTACGAGGTTTCCCGCAAGTTAACATCATTGTTTTGTTAGCAGATAGAGTGATGGAAATAGAGTTCATTTTATGATACGCAGACATGAAACGATCATATCATCGTTTAAAATGAAAAAGTACTCCTGACTACTTTTTCATTTGAAACCATGATGTGGTGGTTTCACACGTTGAGAGGAGTGAGGGAGATCATTTTAAAAGTTATAGTCGTCCTCACCCCACTAGTCGGTGGGTGGACGTATTCGAATTTGAATTGGAGCAGGTCTGTCGCGGCAGAGCGTGGCATCTGAACTCCCCCCCCCCTCCATATGATTTTGCGTGTTCCTTTATCGTTTTTATTGGTCGTTACTTGCTAGTCTCTATACTACAAGGTGTCCGTAAAGTATGTATACACTGTTTGATCGTTAATATCTTTTTTCCCAAAAAGTCTTTTGCCTTGCTTCAGGTATCGTTTTGTAGAGCTGGCTTCAACTTAGATTCATTTTCCTTCATTACTGTAGGATTACGGTAGAAACTTCAAAGAGGGCCTTGAGCAATGAAAGGCCATATTTTGCCTCAGAAAAGAAACAAATAGCCTGAAAACTTTTACACTAGGCTAATTAGAGTTGCTGATTCTAATTATGAAGTGCCCAAGTTTTTATAACGCTTCATTAAAAAGTTATGCGAGGTAAGCAGTACCGGCCATTTTTCCAATGTTCCCAAAAATTGCGGTTACACCGTATAGAAAGCCTCGCAATCATGTACATAATTGAGTATTGAACTCAGCGTTCCTGAAAACCCTTTTACACATTTTTTCACTTTTTCGACGATTTTTGTATCGGCAGCTTTCTCCACAGTGACACCATATGCTCGAAGATTCTACCGTAATCCTACAGTAATGAAAAGCTGCAAATCTAAATTGAAGCCAGCTCTACAAAACGGTACCTGAAGCAAGGCAAAAGTCTTGTTAGGAAGAAAGATATTAACGATCAAACAGTGTATACATACTTTACGGATACCTTGTATAAGTATGTTTGTAGAAAGTGACAATTTTGTTGTTGTCGGAAGTCATTTCATGTTGCTAAGCTCGTTTTTTCAACTCTGATTGCAGATAAGCCTGGAGAAACGATACATACGGTGAACTTATGCTGTAAAACCTTTCTTATTAAGTAACATTTGCAAAAGTGTTGCTACAGTGAATTATATGCTCCAAATCGCCATCTGTATCGTTTCCAAAGCTCACATAAACAAAATACGAGCATAGCGGCAGAAGACAACGCTCAGCAATTACAAAAACTCAATTCAGGTCGAAAACTTTGAAATAATACCAAAAACTTTTGAGCAATGGCGAAGAAAAACGCAAAGTGAATGCGTGAATTTGAACGGAGAGCTAAGGTGCCGTGCTCTGCCGCCACCTGCCTGCTCCAGTTCGAATTCGAATTCGTCCACCGACCGACTAGTGGGGTGAGGACGACTATACCATGAGAAGGCTCTTTTGTTTACAACTTAGTTAAGATTGTGGGAGAAATCAAACATAAAGACCGACCTGCAAATTTGGTACAGTGCAATGAATGCAGTCAAGCATGAAATACATCGCTTTGCTATCTAAAATTGAGCAGAAACTTGCCCATCTCCATAATTTCCAATTGGTCAACACGTGATTTCACGAAAAAGATGATGTAAGCTGCTGGTTATCTCATTTTGTGAAAACCTAGTTGAAATCATGGTTTCGACCAAATTACTACCACTCCAGACTGTTTGATGGTGGGAAGAATATAAGATGAAGAATCTTTGCCAGCGCAACTAGTGGATAGCCCTTCAATGTGTCACTGATTCAAATTTTGGTGCTACGAGAAGGCAAGGAAATTAAGACGAAAACGTCTGCCAAGTTGTCCAATGCGAGACTATGATGGATGGCTTAGCACGATTGGTTATGAAGAGCTCTGAGTTTCACAACGTTTTGTCATAATACAGATGTGCGAGCATATCGGTTCAATGCTAAAGTGAAGCCACTCACATTAGCGTTACATGACCGCTTTTACTGTAGACAAAGCGGCTCTGTAGTACTTCGGCAAATGCCTCCTTGTTCACGCAGCGAATGAGGCGGAACACTACCATAACGAAGACGTCAAATGCGTGAAGTCAGCTTTAGACGTAATCATGAATGTGAATCTAGTTGATTCCAATTTAATAGATTTTAATTATTTGATTTTGAGTTAGTAGCTCTACTGTCTATCACTTGGTATCAAAAGCTAATGCGCTATGTAAGAAATCCTGCATTGCGCACAGCACTTTCAATAGAATGTGTAGATAATGCAATTATTTTCGTATGGAGATCGACTTTTGAGAAACCAGCAGCTGATCGGATTGTTGCGATGTCGTGTCTCCCATAGATGATTTCACCTAAGGGAGGGCGCACCGGTAATTGGATTTGCAACACCATCGGCCTCACACAGGAGTTTCCGATTTTCTTAGTAAAAATCAGTTTCGGAGAACTGTCTCTCTTGTGCATTATTTTGAACAAGCGGTTTCCACCGGGGGAATTTGACCCGATGAGTAAAGGGCCGGGCATACATCACGCGATTTCATCGCCGCGATTTCTGGTCTTCGCGTTGGTGCAAGTAGCGACGAAATCGCGGCGACTAAATCGCTAGTTGCTTGGATACTATTTCACATTAGGCCCTGGGCAGAGCTCACGCGACGAAGTCGCGCGATCTCCAGTCGCGACGACTTGCACGAAAGTGGCGACTGGGACGCGACGACTGAGTCGCTCAGTCGCCGGAGGCGTGCATACCCCCGACGCGATTTCATGCAATTGCACAATACTTCACACATTGCACGTATCTAATTCATTACTGAAAATCAGTGCTCTCGTTGACTTTACTACATCACTGTCATTCAAAAAAATTTAACAGCAGACAAAGAAAGTTTGAAAGTTTATCACATAGCATCTGACTTGACACCAAACACAACGCTATGCACCCAAATGATCAGCAATAAAATGAGAAGTCAACGACATCGTGGTTCTGGAAAAAATGGCTCATAATCAAATGAATATTGGGAAGCATTAATTAGGAATAGGAAACAAGTACCAGCAAGGCCACCAGTGGCTGCGGACATCCCGAAAGAACCGTCACGCGGCAAAACGATGTTTTCAGCTCTAGAAACGTCATCCATGTACTGTACATGATAGACGAAAATACGGCTATTACCTCATGCAAAGCTCTATCTCGTAGTCTGTTGTATACCATCGTCAACATAGACTGTGAGCACATTCTTGAAGTATTCGATGCGCAATCGAACAGGTTAGGGCTTGTAACGGATCATTTTGGCAGCCTAGGATATATGAGATGTAGGAAAGTGTAGATGAAAGACGGGAAAAAATGCAAAATGAGGACTAACTCCTTCATCAAACAATGCAAGGATAGGCATAAATTAGCATTTGCAATATTTCACGCAAAAACACTCATAATCAAAAGAAAAAACAGCAACTTACAAAAATAACATCGAAAATGCAGTCCAGAATCGGCGCGACGGTCGCGCCGATTCGGCAAAATCGCGACGACATCGCCAGGTGAGCTAGATCCGTCGCGCCGCGCAGCCATCACAAACGCGTCGGGACCCACACACTAAACAGCGTGGCGTGGAGCACTTGTCCAAAATGATAGGGCGCGACGCGACGAAGTCGCATGAGCTCTGCCCAGGGCCTTAGTTGACCCAAAAAATGAAAATCGCGGATTTCGCTACTACGTCTATAGGGGTTGTTTTGCACGCTGATTACGAATATCACAATTATTCCGCGCGATAGTGTCATTTAGTGAAGTTGCGGTAGGATTACGGTAGGGGGTCAAAACCACGGATTTGCCTCAAACTTCGTCTAGAGCGGTTATTTGCCATGCTGAACATGAAAATCATATTCATTTTGATGGCAGCATCATTTTCACGGGTTAGAGTGGGCATACGGTATTTGGCTAAAAATCACGAATTTGCTCGAAACTTTGCCTAGAGGGGTTTCTAGGCATGCTGGTTACGAAAATCATGTTCTTTTTGCGTTTTAGGACCTTCTCGCGGAATTACGGGAGATGTAAGGTAAGTGGCTAAAGTGACAGATCTCCTCGAACCTTTGTGCGAGGGTGTTATTGACGTGCTGATCACGTAAATCTTTTCGTGAATTCTTGAGTCTGATTAAATTGAATTGAATTTTAGGTCTGGTCAGAAAGCGGAAAAGTTGCTCTTTCGCGCAGAGCTTATCGAAATCTAACAATAAGGCATTTTTGCAGCAAACGAGCACGATGTTTGCAGTTAGCATGCTCAAGAACTTTCAGGCGAAGTTTTAATCAAATTCGGAATTCTTAGTCATCTATCGCAAACCCACCGTGATCCAAAAACATGTTGCTACCCTACGAAGTGGATATGATATTCATGTTCAGCTGGCTTGCCAAATAATCCCTCTAGACGAAGTTTGGGGCAAATACGCACACATACTGGCACTTGGCACACACACACTTCGGGCCCCGGCGGGTGTCATAGGCCACTTTTCGTCATCGATCGATATCGATTTTGTCGACTTTTTGCAAAATTTGAGCTAC